TAACTTGCAGAATAATAGACAGATATATAATGTTACGAAAAAGTTTACAAAGATCTAGTTATCCTAGAGGAATATTTACTTCATTATGGATTCTAACAGGTATGAAATAAAATGGAAATTTCTATAAATTTTCTACTTTACTCAGTTCTAAAGGATCTGACTGTGATTGATTAATAAAGTCAATAAGTCTACTCAAGAAAATAAAGAACAGACTGCTTTATAAGCACACATAATATTCACGAAATATTTAATACGTTGGAATTTTAATTTTGGAATTGCTAAAGTACCATCTATTGTATACTAATTCATACTGTACAAGCTGAGAGAACGAATAGCAAAATATTTATCTTGGTTGAACAGGAGAACCTAGAATTTTGAGAATGTATATGGTAATCTCTGAGAACGAACTAACAACAGAGAAATCTTCATGTAAAATAGTGACAGTTATGACAATTAAAATAAGCCAATTTTTCCATCGACCAAATGAAACATACGAAGGCAACAGATTTCATGATACATGCTAGCAAATTATTAAACAGAATAGATTTAACTGATTAACTAAACTTAAATAAATCGTACTCGTGCCAAAAATGCAACGACTTATCGAATAGTCTAATCAGAAAACCCGCGACTAAATTAGACGACCGTAATCAATATCGTTGCCTACCAATATTTACCAGTACCTATCAGACAGCCGTACAAAATTACATGATTTCTGATTCCATCGTCGCTAAATCACCTAGTGACACGTACATTCCACTATCCGGAACGGAATCGTGTCGACCCGGTTACGTCGACGTCCGATCAGTAGTATCGATGCGCGTATGATTCGACGTAAAAGTAATATCTAGCGAGTACGGCGTTCACGCGATTTCCAGACGAATCCTCAATTATTTTATTTAACATCGGTCATGAGTCACCGACTAGAAACCATTGGAAACCACATGGATCGTCCAGGGTACCTTCTACGCATCTATTTGGTCGATTCGTCGGCGGTTTTGTCGCCGGTGAAAGGAAAACGAACCAATTGCAAGGATAATAAGGACTCGTTAGCTCCGTCGATCCTGTGAAGAACCGGAGTTCGCCTTCTCCGGCTCGAATTCCGGCCAACTTTTTCCAGACCGATTGCGCTCATTTCCGCGCTCGGGGTCTGCGGGATCAGCTTTTTAAAATGCCGGGTAATTTCCATTTTTAACGAGCCACGACAGAATCCACCTCCCGGCGCTGCGCTACGGATTTATCCTCGCCGGTTCCGAGCCATCGGATCGCATAAGGGGAATTAATCGCGTGAAACTGTATAAAAACCGTCCTCCCAGACTTTTCCCCCTGGTGGGAAAAACGAGGGAACACGTAGGTCCGAACTTCTCTCTCGTCTAGCAATGAAGGCCGTTAATTGGTTGTTAATCAGAGGCACCTGTGAACCCATCAACCGTACTGGGTCTGTGTGCACTTCTGTCGGGTATTAAGTATCGCGTGAATAATAGCTTCATGGAATTAGAAGGAACTTATGAAAGTTTGCGTATTAAAGTTTCTAGTTGAATTACGAACTATAATAGTAAATCAGAAAGTTACATATAGTTTGTTACTTTTTAATTATTTTAGGAAGAAGTGCCCTAGTAATATAGTGTGGAGGATAAAATTTAGAACGGATTAGATGGAGGAATATTTTCTGGAGCAACGAGGTATGTTCGAGAGTCGGTTCAGTTTTATGCATACGTTTGATATCTAAAGTAGGTGGAGTTCTGCATCTTATCCGTAAGAGTATGTTGGAGCAGAGGGACGGACGAAAAGGAAGAAGGAAGATGGTACAGCCCAGGACTCGTGTCCTGAGGGAATACAGGAAGGAGACAGGACGTAGACGGATCAGATGTCTGGTTCGAAACTTTCGCGAACTGACCCCTCTATATTTTCCGTCCATTCATCGAAACTGGATCACCACTTTAAAGATCATGAAGTAGATAACGGACGACGGAGCGAAATACTGGACTTTAGGTCACGAAGATTAACCGAAGTTTCGTGCTTGTCGAGAAGGATTTTCGGTATCTCGAGACGTCAATCGAGAGGAATCCTCGTTGACGGTAGTAGAACAAGACGACTCAAATATTGACTCACACGACCTAGCAACTGTTAGATAAAGTTTACGAACTAATCGATAAACAAAATTTGAAGACGACTAATCGTTTCGAGACATTATTGTACACGTGGCAACGTTAAAACGAAGTACCACTTGAAAAATTAAAGTGAGGTGCAGATGATTGAAGGATCATTATTTCAAAAGAAAGATTTCGTGTGCAACTTTATTGATTCGGGTCGACCGGCAGCCCTCGAAAGTTGTGGAAGTTTAGAAGCTTCAGATAGGCATAGTTAAACCTTGGACGATGTTTCCTGGGTGCAGTTGGACTCAAGTTTGTAAAGTATCTAACTCATCAACATACAAATCAAATTTAAGTTAAGTGTTTTCCATACTAAGTCATATAAAATATCAGGTCTTTTTGAATCACTTAGTTGGAAAATATGTTTGAAAAGTAGGTAGTACAGGGGTTCAAACAGATCCAGACACGGCTACAATACGAATATTAAAACATCCAGCCTTCAAAGGGTTAATTTGATTTCTCACTGTTTCGCGTACTGTTTGTTACAAGCCATTTCTACGAAAAAGTTATAGTGTTAAATCCAATCTAACAATGATAACTATGGCAAGCTTCTAATGAGTTACAGATTTACCCTAAATCTGTGCTCACAGCCGTCCAGCAATCCTACCTTAAAGGGTCAAGCAACAAACAATACAGACCCTTGTGGCCATCAAGCCGCTCTATCGCCAGCCAGAGATTAACGTCTTATCAAAAGAAGCTGACGTGACACCTACATCTCAAAATAATACAAGAAATACACAAGAATTCTGCAAAAATAAGATATACACGGAGACGCAAACACGGCAACGTGAAAATCTTGAAGCAAGCGGGGCAAGTATAAAAGGAAAGAAGAGACAAAACGCAGAAGAAAAAGGGGGTGAGCGAGGACACGTAGAAGCGGCCAAGAGAAGAAATAAAAGTCGGAAGGTGGGGCTGAGCGGGAAAGTGAGACGAGACGGCAAGGGAAATAAAAAGAAATTGTCATCGTCCGGGTGGTTGCAACCACCCTTGTAACCGTGACTCCCTCCCACCTACCCCCCGAGCTTTCCACGGTCCTGCTTTACAGCCACTGTCATTTGTTTTTACGTTCGCTCCGTGTCGTTCCTGAAAATCCTTCGCCTGTCGCGAACGCCATTCGCCCCTCCTTGTCCTGCGAGATTTCGTCCTGGAATGGAGAGACAGCACGCGCAACAGCGCGCGCGCGCCGAAAGTTCAAACGCGCCGACAATCTCTGGGACGCAACCCTCCAACGCCGGGGAATAAGAAAATCGCGCAAGGGAGCAAGCAAAGCTGACAGAAAATTTCGAAGTCTCTAGATAAAGATATTCGGTTCTCATCCGCCGCGAGGTAGAGTTTCGAGGATAGAGGTCGGTCCTGAAGTTTCTCCTCGCGAAGGCGCGAGGGATCCCGGTGTTTTCTATATTTGTCAGAAGGGGTGTTGAACTTAACGGGAAAGTTTTCAGATGAAATTCTGTTCAACTGGCAAGATCAACCGAGGATCTCGAGGCTGGATTAACCCCGCTGGATATTGACTTTACGAAATTGTCGGCTAGACATCTGTACGCTGGGAACTTTAAGGAGGGCTGAAACGTTGTCGGATAATTTACCAAGGGGGATTAATAATACCCTGGTGTTTTTTTCGAAACTTTCGCGGTGCGAAACTTTCGTTCGGGTATTTTAAGATTAACTCCGTGGTAGCGCGGGCGCGAGAGGTTTTGTCGAGAACGAGGTGAAACTTTCGTTTCTTCGGACGAGACCGGAGAACCGTTGCTCCGGTTTGGTAGACTTCGAGATTCCTGACTGGGGCTTGTTTTAACTGATAGAAGGAAGGATATCTTTTTCTGGCAGGGCTTGAAACTGCGCGATAGTTTCATAGATCTCGTTGAAAAATCAGAGATTTCCGCCGGAGAACGATGGTGATGGAGGATCTTGGATAGACGGTTCTCGGCTTGAACTCCCGGAAAAAAGTTTCAATGAAAATACAGGGGAAACTTCGAGCTTATTTCCAGCTGGAGAACGGGCGAGAAAGATAGCAGGTGAAGGTGATAAAGACAGTATCGCGTATTAATTTCGCCGGACTATTTAATTAGCAAGGCCTAAGTAGACGAGATAAGAGTTTAATGAGTACAGATAGCCTTGTAATCCTAACAGTTTTCTTCTTTCTTCTTATCCGAATCATTCCCATGACTCTTTGTGCCTTTAGAGAACAATGGGACAAAAGAAAGCGACTGTTACCATGGTAACAGAGGATTTCTATTACATTTTCTTGAAGTAGAATATTATATAGTAACCGTCGTTTATTTTCTTTTAAGTCCCGCGGTCACAAAACGTACTGGTTGAAAAATGAAATAATTTCAATGACAGAAATATTCAACTTCTTAAACTTGGATATTTTAATATTTCGATAGTTAAGTATTCCCATAGGCATATACGAAGACCGATTATTACTCTGATAGGTAAATACTCCGATAGATCTATATTTCTATGGTTAAATACTCCAATGGCTAAATAGTCTGATAGCTAAATACCTAATAGATAAATACTTCGATAGATAATCACTTTGGTAGATAAAGACTTCGATAGACAAATGTATACTTCGATAGGTAAATTCTTCGATAGCTCAATACATCGATAGACAATTATTCCGACATACTGTGATAAATTAATGCACTGATAAATGACTATTCTCATCAATGAACACTATCATCAATTAGTTTGAGTAGGCTCTCAGAATTAGCTCTGATGGATGGGCACTTCAATCAACGCGTGCATTGATGACCCAATATTCCGATAAGCAAGTGCTCCAGGAAGCTAGTACTCTTTGCAACACTAAAGGTACAATTAACAATAAATGAAAAAAATACTCACGAACTGTCAAGTTGGCCGGTTTCACGATCTTCGGACAAACCCTAAAGAGGCCCAGCTTGAAGCGCACACTCACGACATTCGCGAAATTACGCGGTAAATACGGAAGATTCAATTTTTCCTCGGTGAGCAGCCAGGCAGGGCCTAACAGGGCCGTACTAAGAGCTGCAAGAGCAGCGATACCACAGACCAAACCGCACCTGGTCAATCTGATGCCACCTGGACCACCCGAGCAGCACATCTTCGTCTCTCTGATTCCTCACTCTCTTCAGGATGACATTCTACGACGCACAAAAAATCACCTCGCCGATTTCAATAGTCCCCGCCTCTCTTTTCGACCGAACGCTCTCCGCCAAATTCGACACATTATCGAACGACTTGCTGACGAGTCCGCGATACACTTCAATGCACTGTCCTTTTTTCCACGGGACACTGATTGCACTTGCGGTTTCAGGTAGCCAGAGTTAGGGGTCCTCCACGCTGGAATGGCTCAGGTGGCGCATCCTGAATGGAACAAAAAAAGTTATTTTTTTAGAAAAAAGAGCTTTAAAGTTGAAGACAATATTGATTTTAAATTATTAGTACAGTGAATGGTGTTTTTTAAATGCTTCTATTGAAGAATTGTCATTAAATAGTATTATCTTATTATCAGGTATCGTTCTACGTTTGTGGCCATATTGGTTGCTGCTGACTATTACTATTCCTATTGGTTAGTTACTGTCAACTGTTTACTTCTGTCATTTATTGCTAGTGGTATCTACTAGGGCTCATATTATTAAATACTGCATTATATTTGAACTTCTTTATTTACTGCTACTGATTAGTATATCTCTATTGCTACCTATTGGTATTGATTTCATGAATTTATAGTCTATAGAGCACAGTGAAATCTAATGGAATACAAAACTTACATCAGATACAACGGGTTGTCTGGTTTATTCTGAACCCAATAAGATACTTAAGAGAGAAAACAAATTTCTACATTTGCCCCTCTTTAAATAAATTACTTTATAAAATGTCATTTCGCATAAAATCCGTTGTTTACTTATTACTTTTTACTCTCTGTTAGTTCTCCCGTCGTCACTCAATATTACCTCAAAAGAGACATATATTTGTTTTTTGTACAGTCGTTAACCTGTATAGAGTGGAAACCCTATTTTGAGCCTCCAGATATGTCCCTTATCTTTCTTAATATAGCGCTATGACAAATATATATGAAAGTTCTAACAAGAAAATATAAAAAGTTATAAAAAAACCTGTCCCTCCCCTAAAGGTTAATCATAATTTCTTACAAAATGAATTTAGTGATTCAATGTTTCTGTCATAGTCAATAGAAATATTTCTCTGTTTCTCTGTAAAAGTCTCACAGCTCTACAGTTGTCCGTTTCATACAGAATTTTTATTCCAAACAACGTTTCTCTATTTTTTTTTGCGCATGGCCCAGATCTCAGAATGCATAATGCCGGCCACGGGTCATGTCCGATAGTAGTTTAAATATTTGAATATGCATCGTACAATCCACAACTTTCCAACTACATTTTCAGAATTTCACATATTCTCGACCTCCAAATTCTTCAAATTGAAGTAGATATTTCATCAAGAATACGAAATATCGCAATAATTAGACGATAGTCTGGGTACCTCTTTTTGTCAGTACCTTCGAACACTTATCGAGGATTTACTGTAGTGTGATGTCTCAGTGTCCCAATTGAGAACAAATTTCTGTCGCAATCTACGAATAATAAATTTCACATGCTCTCCGTATAATCGTCAGACGCAATGATTGAGTGAGACACATTAACACGTTCGTAACACCACGTGTATCGATCGTTCGCCAGCATCTACTCTCGATTTTCACTGGGATACCAGGGTGGTTATATCTCAGGCCTTGTGTGATTTGTCAGTCGACCGACCGATACCCTCCGTCCTTGTTCGACGAAAGCGAATAATCCGCCAACGATAAGCGAGTTATCGTCCCACCATCGAGTTTGACTTTATCGAAGCCCTCGCGGGAATTACCGCGTCCGTCGCGTGCCACGGTGGTTTAATTCGCAATGAGAATTCTCACGGTTCACGGCTGCTGCGCGGATTCCCGCGTCAAACATAAAACTTCCAGTTGCTGATAAATAATTGATACGGATCGATTTGACATCGGACAACTTGTTTACTTGTCGGTAGTCCGACGAGATTCTCTTGAGTAAATCCTACTGACCTATTATCCGATTGACTTTCACTTTGCAGTTTATCTCGATACATATTGTATGAGAAAGACGTGACTTTGATTACATTCAACTTCGTAACGCTTGATGTATTTTTTCGACTTTGTCCCCAGTGTTTACGAAATACTGTATTCTGAAATTTTTCGTCGTCTCACCGTAAGATAACTCTTTTAGTAGCTTTAATCTTTTAGTAACCTGAATAGGAATATAATGATTTTATCGACAAGAAATCAGAATAAATAACGTAAGTGGATTTTGCTACATTTCTGTCTAAAAATCAGCTGAAAAATGGGAATGAGTCTATGAGGCAACCAAATATAGTTTTGGATATACTTATTAAACAGGGTTATCGCAGATAGTAACTTAGGTGAAAAATAATTCAGAATTTAGTGAACATTTATTCCGTTACAAAATCTTTATATAAAATTAATAATCGTAGTATAAGGAATATATAAAGGAATATATTTTTGACCGTCCATGACTCAAAATGAAATAAAGTGTGTCTGGCTACGTATAGCCTTTTTCACTGTGGTAGTCAACGTGTTAAATAGTTACTTGAATGCAAGTCTTCTTTCCAAGTTTAACTTGCTCTCTTCAAACAGAGAACGCAATTCATTGACAGTGGAATTATATTCTCAAGCAAATTTGACTTGTACAATGCAGACAAGAATCACATTGAAATGCTCCGTGCAATTTTATCAGAAGGGTAACCACGATGAAGGTATCGAAGATATTGACGGGGTTGTACCAACAGATGAAACTTATAATTTAAATTAAGTAACTCGATGGCATTATTAAAACTCGTGTCCAAGTTTTTAGAAGTCGTGCACCGAAGTTTTATAACGAATTTTAAAGTACAATCGAAATCTGCAATTTAAAGTTAACAGGAAACTTGTATTCCGCTCCTCTTTATCGGACACAAGTCAGATGGATATAAATTGCATCTCCGGGCCGCGTAAAACTGCGACAGAAATTGCGAACTTTGGTCCGGAATACGCAAGCTGATTTATTAAAGTCGTCCTTTTTTTTTAAACATTTCACTTTCTCGTGAAATAAGTAACTTGATTATAATACTGAAAATATTTGAAGAATATTTCAGAACTATTAGAACGGGGAAACAATGAAATACACACTTTCAATTCGGTACAAAAATATTACGGGTAGCAATAAGTAATCTATGATTTTCTTTAAATTCAATATTAATTTCACAGAAATACATAGTAGAACACCGTCAATTCGTTCTCCATAAATATTAAAAAATTAATATCGCGAAATGATTACCTACAATAATTCATTAAATCTTTTTATTGATTTATTGATGTTACAACTGCTTCTAACTTCCATACTCGTTCTGAAATTAAAAACCACGTTACAGCAGATCAAGAATTTATTATATCAGGTATTGCTGTATGTATTATATCTAAGTAAAAAAAAACGTTTGATTTCTAGCTCGCGAACCGAGAGAAAAATACGAATTCTGAGGCAGTAATGTTTTCGAAACAATCACTCGGTTAGGTAAAGAATACTACGACCGGTTGTTTACCGGATCAGAAACGTCACCGAGCTAGTTTTATCGATGGTGGTGTCGACCTGGCGGATGTTCCAATACGAACGCAGCCGAAATTCGCTGACTGCGAAACAGATCAGGCCGAAAGAGCGGTCTCCGCTAAATGAAAAAGAGAATGGTAAACCACCGTGTGAATTTGTTTTAAATGGCCAGCAGCACTAACGATAGTGGCCGACCACTTCACGACTGACATATGTGCGGCAGATTCCGTTCAATTCTTATACAGGGTGCTTCAGAATGTCTCACCAAATTTTGAAAACATTTATTAGGACATCTGGTACAGAATTGTATATGAAATACTAGGTGTGCAAACTAATTCGTGGCGCATACAATTAATTACTGATAATTAAGTGAAGGAGAATATTTCTACATCTGTAATAATAACTTTTCAAAGTCGAATTAATTCTTATGGCAGCCAAAATGTTCACGGCAATTGAGCAATTGAAGTATCCCAAACATTCTATTTGGACACATTAGATAAACATAGACAATATTACTTTCATTCTTTTCCGAAACCCTTAGCTTTCTCTTCCTATAATATACCATGTGCTGTTTTATACAAGAACATAAAAAATTGGGGAAGGAAATATGAGAATGGGTATCCGGTTGCCCACACAAGGGTTGAACTTCACTCACAGTTACAACATATGTATCGAGTTCCAAAAAAAATATTGGACGGCTACGTATTTAAATTTGGAACAGAAGAAACGAATTGCAAAACATCAACAAGTCTCTATATCTGCAATACAGTTCAAAGTCAAGCTCAAAATCGACTGGAAAGTCGAATTGAAAATCGAATTCAGCGTTCCAAAGTCAAATTAAACTTCCCTCAGTAGCATCGTCCCAAGTTCCAAAATATTCTCGACGACCTGATCTTTTGAATATTGCTGAGAACAAATCGTACCGTGAAACTGTCTCTTTTTATCGCGACAACATTGGAGCCAGGTCTGTACTCTAAACAATCTGGTTCGACGAGCCGTTCGTATCACTTCGCGCACTCAGCGTAATTTTACGATACAATGAAACCGCTGACTGACCTGACGTTTGAACGACGTATGTACGATAGTGGGGATAGGGAAAATAAGCTTTTTCGGCACGTCGTCGCGACGACATCGTAAACGGAGGTTTACTTCCGCGAGAATATTTCCGTCCTCGCGAACGCACCGGCTCACCCCGCTTCCCTAAAAGCAGCCGTTGCGCGAATTTCCGCCGGGCGAGTTTACAACGCTCGCTCGCTCGTTCTAAGCAGCTGTGCGCCGCGGGACTCGTTGGAATCCACGGATTTTCGGAAGTTGCGCGACTAGCAAATTGTCCCGCCGCCATTGCCACCGGCGACTACTCGCCAATCCAGCCCACACCACTCTCCTTTTGATCGCGTTAACCCACATCGAGTTTTTGTATACAATTCCCAGGACAGTTTGCAGGGGGAGGTGGCGAAAGTTTCGTTGCGGACTC